CATCGCGCAGTCAAACGCAGCCTGACGTAACGGAAGCTTCCGAACTGTTAGACCGCTTGATGTGTTGTAGGAAACGTGCCTTTTTTCTTTGTCATTAGCCTCATTTGAGGTTTCGGGGTGTACAGTGGGTTTTCTCACGTCTAGTAGAGATCATACATATGTTTTATCAAACTCCGACGAGCTCAGTTACAAATGTAGCACCGATGTAGTTGAGGGGGCTCACGAAGCGGTCATGCGAACTCTGCTCTTCTGCGCCTGAGACAACGCAGCGCTCGGACTCTGGTCGTCTGCGCTCTTTCAAGACCGAACCTTGAGAGAAAAAGATCACTTAGTCGAGCTTCCGAATGATCCCTTTCAACTGCTGTAACGCCATATCTAGTTCTCACTCTTAACTTTGGCGTTACTTCGAGCTTCACCCTCGTTAAATTTGGTGGTCAGTTACCTAACTTGTCGTCACCTTGCTCATGAACTACGGTGGCCCCGTCGTGTTTATTTGTTCTAGAAGGAAGCTTAGTAAATAAAAGTCAACGCTGGGTAGATTGTGGCTTGCTGTGTCAGTGTTTGAAGAGTAAATAAGATCGGTAATTGACTCTCATGAATTTCAGGGTATGAGCCAGCTTCGCATGGAGAATCAACGTCTGAAAGAGGAAAATGGCGCTTTGGTGCGTGTGATATCAAAAATGACTATTTAACAGAGCGCTTTTAGCGCATAGAGCTCTTTATTCTTCTCCTCATCGCTCATCCGCCTCCCTCTAATACCTGCTAGGTAGTGTCTTGAACAGTGGATTTCACAAAGAACTTATCTCACTGAGGAACAGTAGCCTTTGTTCCTAGCCTTTGACAGCACTGCCACTATTTCGACCTCACCATGTTCCAAGTTGGGTCCTGGTCTAAAGCTGTGCGTAAGGGGCTGTGTATGTGTATGGGAGCGACGTCCCTCAGTGGGAATATCTTTATCTGCATGAAGCTCATCTGTCTAATGACGTTGAACGTGTACGCTCCACGTGGGGCGAACCTTAATCTCGTTGCTCTCTCTCATTTCTTAAAAATGTTAATAAATTCGTTCAACACTTCATCTATCCTAGCTTGGAACTACCGTGATTTCACTAGTTGATGCACAAACCCCGTCCTACTGCGATCGATCCCGTCCCCACAGAGTTTTTCATATTGTCTTTTCAGATTGCTGCTTTTTTTTGTCCACATTTTTCTTCATCAGATGTATTTTGAATGCCTTCTTTATTACATATAGATTATATCACTGCAATCAGAATCACTTGGATTGCAATAATCGTTGTTGATAACTTGATTTCATCAAGAGTTGAATGTACAACGTACACGAAGATAAAGATTCGCTGTATATAATTTTTGTTAAAACAGGGACAAAAGGAAGCATTATCCCAGGCTTTGAATGACTCGATATTTTCCGATTTTGAGAAATTTTCGGCATTCGGCTTCCGGGTATTTGAGAAGACATTGTAATGCCTCGCTAGTGGGCGTGGCAAGCGGCGTCGCGCTTGACAGACGAGTTATCCTGCCGAGCTGTTTGGATTCGATTGTCAAAGAAATGGGAACATTCAACATCGCTTATCATTGGATGTTGTCCTTGTTTGAGTTCATATGAGTTTCGCTACTCCGCTACTCCAATCGACGAACTGCTGAACACCGAGAACTCGCCACGTGAGGCCGCCCAACACGTGCCGCGCGCGACGCCGCGGCAAATTACGGTTGTCTTGACCGGGTCCTAGATTTTCCAATGAAGTGGTGAAATGGAGTATCGCATGTAGCTTCGGAAAGGTGTCATAGCGAAAGCCAGTGATTCTTGTTTTTTTTCACGGAAAAAGGGGAAAAGTTGATTTCCTGGGAAGTCTTGTCATATTTTTCAAACAGCTTTTCTGTAGAGGGACTATCAGATTATTTTTAAACAGATCTTGTAACAGACTTGTTCACTGCGGTTGATGGGGCGTGTCGAGGCAATGGGTTTGCCAGCCCGTTTATTTCTT